ATTTATCTTATTTTTCCTTCCTATTTCCCTATTTATTGATCTTATTTTTCCTTCCTATTTCCCTATTTATTGATCTTATTTTTCCTTCCTATTTCCCTATTTATTGATCTCATTTTTCCTTCCTATTTCCCTATTTATCGATCTTATTTTTCCCTCCTATTTTCCGATCAGATCTTGGAGGGGGAGGCCATAACGGAGCTGAGGACGGCGGCGGCGTCGGCGGTGGCGACGTTGGAACTCGTCAGGGAGAAGCCAGGTTGGTGGTGGTGGGGAGGGAGGGGGAGGGGGTGGGGGAGGGTTGGAGGTGAGGGGGGGGCGTTCGAAGGAGGGTGGGAAGGAGAGGGGGAAGGGGGTGGGGGAAGGGGAAGGAGGGAGGGGTGATGGAGAGGGGGTGATGGAGGGGGAGGAGGAGTGGGGTGTGCTGGAGGAAGTTGGGGAGGGGGTGAGGGGGGAAGGAGGGATGAGGCGTGGAGGAGGACGGAAGAGGGAGGGAGGAAGATGAGGAAAAAAAGGAGAGAAGGAGAGAGAGAAGGAGAGAGAGAAGGAGAGAGAGAAGGAGAGAGAGAAGGAGAGAGAGAAGGAGAGAGAGAAGGAGAGAGAGAAGGAGAGAGAGAGGGAGGGAGAGAGAGAGAGGAGAGAGAGAGGAGAGAGAGAGAGAGGGAGGGAGAGGGAGGGAGAGGGAGGGAGAGGGAGGGAGAGAGAGAGAGAGAGAGAGAGAGGGAGGGAGAGGGAGGGAGAGAAACAGACCGACAGACAGACAGAGAGAGGGAGACAGAGAGAGAGAAAGAAAGAAAGAGAAGAAAGAACAAGAACACACAGATAAACAAATAATCTAAAAAAAAACATAATAGAGAGAAAAAAACAATGCCCTAAAAGAAATAATAAATAATAATAAGTAAAAAAAGAAAAGAAAAGAAATAAAAGCAATAAAAAAATAGAGAAACTACACAATGAAACGTCATATTTTCAACGTAATATATATATATATTTTTTTCTCTCGATGTCGCGTGATTTTTTTTAGCACTTCAATTTTTTATCTATTTATTTATTTATTCATTTTTTTTTATATAACACATTTCTCTCACTGGGTATCGGGTATCGGGTCTCCAGCTTGACGTGGTATCTGTTACATCTTGGCATTTGATCAATTCATTATAAATAATCAATCAATGTATATATAAAATGAGATGGTGTGTGCGTTTTTTTCTTTCTTGTGTGTGTGTGTGTGTGTGTGTGTGTGTGTGTGTGTGTGTGTGTGTGTGTGTGTGTGTGTGTGTGTGTGTGTGTGTTTGTGTGTGTTTGTTTGTGTGTGCCAGTGCGTGTAAATGTACACATATGATACTGAACATACAGAGAGGGAGGGAGAGGGAGAGAGAGGGCGAGGGCGAGGGAGAGAGAGAAAGAGAGAGAGAGACAGAGACAGAGACAGAGAGATAGAGAGAGAGAAAAAAAAAGAGAGAGCAAGTAAAGAGAAACAGACAGACGAACACATAGAAAAAAGCACAAACAAACAAACACACAAAGACAGCATTAATTGCAAGGGACAAGCACATGTTTTGCAACACATTCCTCATCAGCATCATTCAGTGTTAAGGAGATAAGTGCCACTCTTCAAGCATTCGTTTTTTTTTTGCGTTTAGCATCATCGCCATCATTATTGTTGTTTTTATTTTCATTGGTTTTATTATTTCTATTATTGTTGGTGTTGTTATTGTCATTGTTGTTGTTGTTATTATCATCATTATTATTGTTACTATTAAAAATGTTAATATTATCATTATTGTTGGTATTATTTATTATTATTATTATCATTATTATTATTATTATTATTATTATTATTATTATTATTATTATCATCATTATTATTATTATTGTTGTTGTTGTTGTTGTTGTTGCTGTTATTATCATTGTTATCATTATTACTGTTACTATTATTATTATTATTACTATTATTATCATTATTATCATTATTATCATTATTGTTTTGTTGTTATTATTTTTATTGTTAGTATCATTACTGTTATTGTTATCATCGTTATTATCACTCTTATTATCATTATTATCATCATTGATAGTATTATCATCATTATATTATTATTATCATTATTATTATACTATTGTAATTGTTATCATCATTATTATCAACAGTAGTATTCGCTGAAGTACTAATGCTATTATTATTATTATTACTATCCTTATAATTATCAATTTCACTGTTAATGATATTTTAATAGTCCATTCCACGGACTTTGCCCCTCCCCCCTTTCCCCCTCCCCCCCAAAAAAAAAAACGGGAAAAATTTAAAATGATAAAACATATTAAGTTTGCCTTTCGTTATAATAAATCTTTCTTTATGAGTTTTAGCCTTTTTTTTATCGACGTCAAATCGTGTTCCAGTTCTGGTGAGGAGGATTATGGATAAGATATAATGTCTTTCAAATTTCTTCCTTCCCCCAAGAACGTGGAAAATAGACAACGAAACAAAAATTTAAAAAAGATT